TAATTATAATTTTAAACTTCTATACTAAAACATCCTCTTAAATTGCATAAGCCTTTTTTATTTTCAAAAATAATATTGTTTTGGGAAATAACATGAAAATAAGTGATGCTATAAAAATTATCTTTTTATCCCACTTTTTTATATCACTTTTTACGTGGATGCATTTAATATTATGAGTTTTACATGAATTAAAAGAATTAATCATTTTAATGACACATCAGGTTGTACAAAAATATAAAATAAAAAAAATTATACAAAAAGCATTTCCCATAAAAATTAATTAAAGGTTTAATGACACGCGCTACAGTAGAGCGTTTAGATGGGGACACCCTCTTAAATATTTTGCTCCCTAATTACAATAATTAAGAGTGGGTGGAACTGTGGAAGACGGATTTATGTTTGGACGTCCAAATTGATGGCTGATGCTGTCATGATGTTAACACTAAATCCGGTATAGGCAGGGCCCATCTCGTCTGCCACCGTGGGCCCAGCCCACTTATATAAAAATAAATTCTTATTGAATGTTTTTTAATTAATTTGTTTTTTTCCATAATTCCACCGTTGGTCTTTACCAGTTACTACTGTGCATTTATTAGAAGAAGTGAATCTCAGTGCTATGTACCGATCCGCAAGATACATTTATATTATATTTATTTTTAATAATTAAAATTTATTTATATTTATTAAAAGTAATTATTTTTTATTTAAAAAATTATAATCAATTTCAATTATTTATTTCAATTATTTAAAGAGATAAATAATTAAAATTTTATATAAATGAAATATATAAAATATATATAAGTAAATCTCTCATTATATATCAAAAGGCAAAAATGGTAACTTTTTGTAAGTGAATTAAAAATTTTAAATTTAAATCATATGATGTAAATATTATATGAGTTAAAAAGAGTTACCTCCTTTATATATAATTTAAAATAACAAAAAATGTGATACTTATATAATCAAAATATCACCTATGATTGTAAGTATATGATATAATATGTGGTTATGCAACTTTTTATTTAATAATTTAATTATAATATTATACGTATTTATTTATTTAATAATATATTACATGTATTTAATACTTTCTTTATTTTAAAACAATCATAATTTTTTACTTTTTCTCTAAATAATGGATTTGAGTCAATTCATAGATTTATCTATATTATCCTTAGAAAAAAATAAAAAATAAAGTCAAACTTTTTTATAAGATGATTAATCAAAATGAATAAATAATGATATGATTAAATTAAAAAAAATATTTCTCTATATTAAAAAATAAAAAAATAATAATTAATTTAAAATAAATTTAAAGTAAAAAAATTATGTTAATATAAAATATAATAAAATATAAAGATTAATACTTGCCTACTTTATGTTTTAAAAATTAAAAGAAAAA